CGAGCTTAAACCAGGCTCGAAGTACTGTGTCATGAAGCAGTGGTCACTGCCTCGTGAACAAGTACTTGCGATCGACAAGTTCTTTGCCGATCGTTTAGCAGCGGGCCATGTGAGGGAATCAACTTCCCCACATAGCTCTCCGACCTTCTGTGTGCGAAAAGCAACAGGAGGGTGGCGGATAGTGCACGCGTTTAACAAATTGAACGCTGCAACGGTACCGGCTCAGACGCCGATACCGAGGAAGGACGTAATCATTGATGGTATGTCAAAGAGTACCATCTTTTCGTCCATGGATTTGATGGATGGCTTCTATCAAATCCTAATGCGGGAACGGGATATACCCTATACCGCAGTTAGCACGCCTAGCGGCATGCTCTGGGAATGGCTAGTAATGCCACAAGGGCTCAGTAATGCCCCTGCCACGTTCAACAGGTGTGTATCACATCTGTTGAGGCCAGTACGAGAATTCGCGCCGAGTTATTTCGATGACGTATTCATCCATAGTCGAGCTATGGATGGAAAGTCGGACGTTGAGGTTCACAAGTACCACGTCCGACAAGTTCTTACAATCATGCGAAAGCATCAATTGTATGCAAACCTCAAGAAGTGTATATTTGCAGCAAGCGAAATACCACTTCTTGGGTGCATCGTTGGTAAGAACGGTGTACGTCCTGATCCCGAAAAGATCAAGGCGATCACCGACTGGCCCGTGCCGGTCGATGTCAAAGGTCTTCGAAAATTCCTTGGGCTAGCGGCGTATTTGCATAAGTATTCACGCAATTACGCCGAGATGACTGTACACCTCTCTCGTTTGTTGAAAAAGAACGAGAGGTGGTTATGGAACGCTGAATGTTAGCGCTCCTTTGATGGTATCAAGCAGAGCTTGATACAATCCCCAGTCCTAGCAATAGCCGATCAGGACAGGCCATTTCATGTGGTCTGTGATGCCAGCGATTTCGCAATCGGCTGTGCATTGATGCAGTACGACCCAGAAGGCGTTGAACGCGTCGTCTGCTATCAGTCGCGTCAGCTGCAACCAGCTGAGCGGAACTATACCGTGCATGACAAGGAACTCCTTGCCATGAAGTATGCACTCGCGAAGTTCAGAGTCTATCTATTAGGAGATAGACCCTTCGTTGTTTACACTGACCATGCGTCCTTACGCACGGCAGTGAACAGCCCGCACCTTTCACAACGAATGGCGCGGCGGTTGTCATTCTTTGCAGAATACAACTTTACGGTCGAGTACAAACCAGGACGACTTAATGTCGTCGCTGATGCACTCTCACGTCGTCCCGACGTTGAACCAGTCGTGCAACCCAGCAGTGGGACAGCCACTGTTGCGGTTATGACGTCCTCAGTACTATCTTCAACGTTACATGATGATGTGAGGCGGGCATACGCCCAAGATGGTGAGATAGTGAAGTTGTTGTCACATCTCTCCCAACCATCTCGAGAATCGTTGAAACGATTGTCGTCTGCGTATCGATCTGCATCAGATCGATACACTACTCGTAACGGTTTACTGTACTATACAGCCGTTTCTGGTGACACACCACGTGTTGTCATTCCAGATGATACTGATCTGCGTTTGCGGATCATGTTCGAGTATCACGATGCTCCTATAGGAGGACATCGTGGCCGAGAGAAAACATATCTCACGGTAAGTCGAGACTTTTACTGGCCCCGCCAGTATCAATTTGTGCGAAAGTATGTTCGCGCATGCGAAGTCTGCCAACGAGTGAAGTCAAGTCCTTCACTGCGTGCACCTTTACAGCCTCTACCGGTTCCGGCTGAGTGCTGGGAATCCATCTCAATGGATTTCGTCTTCGGGTTACCCAAAGACGCACGCGGGAATACGGGTATTCTCGTATTTGTTGACAGATTCAGCAAAATGGTACACCTTGTGGCTGTACCAGAGACAATCACGGCAAGTGGCTGTGCTTGTGTCTTTATTGACACCATCTTCCGACTTCATGGGTTGCCCCGTGAACTCGTATCAGACAGAGATCCACGATTCACTGCTGATTTCTGGCGTTCCGTGTTCAAATCACTCGGAACGCGCTTGAAGATGTCAACATCTGATCATCCAGAGTCAGATGGTCAGACGGAACGTGCCAATCGTGTCCTTGAAGAGATACTTCGAGGATACGTACACTCCTTTAAGAGTTGGAGTGAGTTTTTGCCGATGGTAGAGTTTGCCATCAACAACTCGGTGCATGCGTCCACGACACATACACCGTTTTACGTGAATGGCTTGCGCCATCCGCGTGTACCCACCTTACTAGAGTGTAACTCTGGTTTAAGGGGGGAGGGACTCGCGCGAGCAAAAACCGATTTGGTTCACGCTCATCACGCTCTGACGAAGAAGTCATTGCGTTTGATGCCGATATCGATAACATCGATATCGAAGAAGATGATGCCAGTGAGAGTGCGGAAGCCCTCACTGAAGACAATGATCCCAGTGAGAGTGCGGAAGCCCTCACTGAAGAAAAGGTTGTTGTCGCTGCAGTGCGCTCACAGCACACTGAAGCTAACGAGTCATCAGATGAGTTCATACTGGCTCGTGAAACGGTAGTCCGTTTTGTGCAAGACTCCATCGCCGAAGCGGTGGATAAGCAAAAGCAAAACGCTGACAAGAATGGAAGGGCAAACACTCTTTTATTTAATAAAGGTGACTTAGTCCTACTGTCTACGGTTAATCTACCAAAACATGTAGTGACTAACTTGGGTAGCAGTAAACTACTACCCAAGTACATTGGCCCATTTCGTGTATTGCACCGCCTAGGCAATGCATACACGATCGAGTTACCACGTAAGATGCGAACGCATCCCACGTTTTACGTTGGTCGGCTTAAGCCGTACCATCAGTACGCTGCTTCTTCCGATGAAGAACGCCCTTGCGCTCAAGCATCTCGCAGAGAGCCTTGTGCTCCCGATGGTGGGCATCAACAAGGGTCTGAAGAGAAGTTATCTCAGCCCGAGACCGATCAACAATCCCACGAGCTACCCTTAGCTCGTCACGAAGAGATGTCAGAGATCTCTCGTTCTCAAGCTGAGCAAAGGCAAACTCAGCTCGATGCTTCGAGGCAGTGTCCACCATCTGGAGACGCCTATTCCGCTCATGCTCGAGATCGTCGCGTAACCCTTGCGTTACGCGATCAAAGAAGCTCTCGGGAACACACCGATCCACATGATCGTGTGGAGAGCGTCTTTCCTCCTCCTCCACCTCCATTAGAGGACTCTCGCGGTGGCCAGCGCTATCTAGTAGAGCAGCTGTTGAACCACCGCGACGTGAACGGACGTCGGACGAGTTACCTCGTCCGGTGGCGCGGCTATCCCCCGTCCTGGGATTCTTGGGAGCCCCGCTCCCAATTGATGGTTGACGTACTGGGTCTGGTCGAGCAGTACGACGCGACACATCCTGTGCCGCAGAAGGACTGCCGGAGAAAGTCTTCCCGGCACGGTCGTAAAGGGATTTCAGGTTGTCAATCCCTTCGTACATCTCAGTAGAGACACGTACGCGCCACCACGGGCTGGTAAGGAGGTAAGCCTCCTTAGGTGCTCGTGCAGAGTTGTTCACACAACATGGGCACGAGTCTCCCCAAGAGAGGCAGGGTAATCCTTTCTCCCTTGACAGACGATGCAGCTTATAGCGTGCACCTGTCGGGGTTCGCTTTTCAAACTTATCACGAGCTTTGATAAGTTTGTCGTTCCAAGCGTCACGACCTACATCCTCGAGATTATGGATGTAGGCGTTCCACGCCTGAAGTAGTGAGGGACCATCACGTTTGTGATTCCCACTGTACCATCGATGTCTGAAGAAAGCATCGATGAAGAATTCATGTTCAGCGCGATAGTTTTTCGCGCTGGGGTCAAGGTGATGAATCCTCGACGAATCGAACAATCGTGTTCGATAACGATCACTCGTCGTCACCGACAAGTGATCCATGACAGATTTAGGAGGCATCCATGCCTTCTTTTCTGGAGCGAGACGCAACACATTGCGGTCCCGCTCTTCCTGCGACGTGCCGACAGAAGTACTGGCACCTCGCTGTGAAGTGGTGTCCATTGGAGAAACGACACCACTATTAGCGCCCGAGTCTCGCGACCTCGAGCGCCTTCGCTTCGGCGATGGTTCATCTGACTCATCAGATGAACCAAAGATGCTGCGACGCAAAGCATCGTCCATGCCACGCTTGGCAGGCGGCTTGGATTCAATTGCCGTCGATACGGATCCGTCATCCGTATCAGGAGAGTACGAGACACCGAGCTCGTACTCTGTGAAGACACGAGTGTCTTCATGACCAGCGCCTGCATCACCAGGTGATACAGGCTGAGTCGATTCAGCAACCGATGGGACATCAGTTGCTGTAGTTTCTGCTTCGGCGTCCGCACAGAGACGTGCAGACGCGCTCTCGGCGGCCTTGCTCGCGCATCGCATGGGCTTGTTTACCATGCGATGAGATGTTGGAAAGTGGACGCGGACCAACAAGTGCAAACCCCGTCCCAAATGATTTGGGACGAGTATCCATTTAGTCAATCAGTCACTAAAGTGACTGATGGTTAAGGGGGATGATGTAACGGGGTGAATCGTTACATAACAATTTATAAGAAATTGTTAATAGAATATAACTATAAGAGTTATATTCTCAGAATATTGTCATAAGGACAATATTCTGTAGCACTTCCAAGTAGTCCCTAATTGGTTGATATAGGCCATTATATCAACCAACGAAGACGCGCCACGACAGACGCACGCAATGAGTGGTGAGCAGATAACTGATTTACACATTTGTATTTAGACATAGTTAGATGAAGATAAATAGTGATTTATTGCAGACATTAACTATTATAAATACAGTTCTACTTTTTACTCTAACCAAGTACTCGCTTCTTCTTACCGTCTTCCTCTGCACGTACGAGTGTACGTGAAGTTACGAGGCACCGCCTTATTCTGTTATCAGAATAAGTAGCTTGTACTGTCACCAGTACAAGCTTCAGGGTGCCCCGTTACATATCTTGTGTGCAATATTGATCTTGTGTCCGAATAGGTACGTAGACAATTGTATTGCAGCATTCAGCGCGTCGCGATGAGTGAAGATGGGATATTCGTCGCTGTCGTCATCACGCGAAAATGGCTCAGAGGTTGCAGTTGCATCGGAGTCTGGTTCCCATTCTTTCAGGTTGTTGTCACACTCCAGATAGTCGTCTGCATCCATTCCATTAGATAAGAATAGTTTGTTGATTAGATTAGCCAGGAATAAGAGATCATTAAGACGGACCGGCACGTCTTGCCTACGGAGCACTGCCGACATAACTCCCGACACGATTCCTGTGTGGATCCAACAGTGTCGAGTCGTTTCAGAGCGCACCTCAGCCCACGATTTTACCACCAAACGGATGGTGCTAAGAACGTCGAGATTCTTGTCCTCCGTCCCTGCCGTCACCATATCCAGTAGCCACTGCACGAATTGGGCATTGTACTTAAGCTTGAAGTTGCGAATGATGCCCGCGTCCAAATCGACATGTGAGGTCGCGTTGTCGAGCAGCAGAAGAGCTTTTCGCCCACTCATTTTGAGATTGAACGCTTTCAACCAATTTGCAAAGATGCCGCCAGTCATCCATGCCTTTGCATTTGCATGGAAGTGGACGGGTAGCTTAAAAACGTCAATGGCTTTAAAGCAACGGGGGTTGAGGCAGTTGATCACGATAGAGTCCAGTTTCTCGGTTCCATCCATATTGGATCATAGCCCTATCAAAATGCTCGACTTATCTTTCTTCTTGCCACTCAAAGGCATCGTTACCAGAGCCCGCGAATGCATCATGCGATAAATAGACCGTTTTTATCCATATTGAAAACACCGCACGCCGCTTAGCCGTCGAGAAGGTTCCGGAGTTCCTGGCGCCGCTGGTGAAGGGTCTCTATCTTGACTAAGGCCGTCTCGCCATGCAGTCGGTAAGACTTGATGCCGTGTCGGGCTTTGAACCTCGACTCTCACGAAAGCGAGAGCGTCTTCGTTACACCTGCGTCCTCGAGCAGTTGATTGGCCTTCTGGTGGAGGATGAAGTCGGTCATTGTAACTTTACTTTGAGTGTCGAGCACGAAATGGAACAGCGCTTTCTCCACCTCGGCATGTCTGCCTTCTGCTGCCGTTTAGCTCTCGGATTAAGGGTGATAGGAATGACCTCGCTCAGAATCTGCTGATCGTGGACCTTGCAACACGGACTCCAAACTCGCCCAGCGCCCATCGACAGAGATCGGCTTGCGTGAGTCCAGGGTTCTCTCGCTGTTGTGTCTGTCGAGCTCTCTTCTGGACGAAGAAAACGTGCGTTCGGGGCGCCATTCGTACGTCGTGTTTGTCTGCGGAGGTGTTCGGAAATTGCGAATCGTCTTTGCGTGGGGAGAATGGGACGGGTGGCGGGCGTCACTACGTTCTTTTGTCCAATAGTTGTGCGATAAAAAAATGCACTTAAAGGTTGTATGTGTTTTTTTGTACAGTAAAATGCGGTTTTAAAAATGTGTTGGTCCTTTACTTGTGGTCCCTCTGACTGTGAGCTATCTGTTGTACTCTTTCGATTAAACCCTATCCCCCTAGCTCTGCCATTTGATAATTCCCGTTTAAAAAATAAGTTGGCAGTCCCAGACGTATAAAATAAAAGAGACTCTGCTGTATCCGGACAATAAACTCGTATATTTTGTTAGCTTATACCGAAAAATGAGCTAATTTACTGAGCAAAATTTCGTCAGACACAAGCTACTTCATAGATGGTTTAACTGATTTTAGCTCTTCCCCGGGTTCCGTTAGATTGGCACAAAGGTCGTAGGAGATTAAACCGCCACGTAACTCCTTTCATACTTAAATAAAAATCTTATGATTCGAAACCAACATCAAAATATTTAATCTTCACATCAATCGATCATAATATCCTTTTTTATAATAGGAACATTTTGCAAATACATCCAGTTTTTCCAGATAATTCACTGCATAAATCAACTTGGTGCAAATTCTAAAGAGATGATACTAGATGTGCAAAACGTCTCGGAAAGTGGATAAATGCTCACTTCCTAAATGCATTTATCCATCTAAACGTTGTAGTATTGAAAAAGAATTGTTTTATATGCTATTACTATATGTGCATGGTAGTTGCTTCATTACGTAAATGAGCTTAATGAGCTGCTAAACTTGGAAATGCGCGCTTACATAAACGGTAAATTATCTGCTAGAAATAACACCTTGGCGATGGTGACATGCAAGCAAGAAAAGTGTCGATTCGAGCAAGAGAGAGATAAAGCGTACCGAGTTGGACGAATGCGTGACTAAATACGACGTGGTGCTGGGTGGAGAAATATGTAGTATCGTCGACATTGTATTCAATGCGCGAATCTTCTCGCGCTTTTTAAGAAGAAATACGCTATATATGTCTAGGCCTTTGTCGCATAAACAAAGCTTGAAGTTTTCTCCTCAACAGTGGGACGTGCATAACAATGAGACGTATCCAATGGACCGTTCTGCATAACAATACCGTTCTGCATAACAATGAGACGTATCCAACGGGCGGCTTAACCCAAAGGAAAGTATATCAGAAAGAGCGACTAAGAACGAGGTCATCGAAGACAATCCTAAGGTTAGGCAAACTTGTCATCAATATGCTACACGCACCTATATTTGAGCAAGCTATTCTTCGATAAGCATTAATTAAGGATTCTTACAGCACGCGCAATGAGCTAGTCGTCCGTCCACCCCTGATTGTAGAAATAGCACAAATTCATGATTGTAGAGTGCGGTCTGCTGGCGTAGATTGGCCAAGTACTTACACCGCGGTCGTAGTAGCAAAAGGTGGTCCTCGTTCTGCACTCCACTCACGAGACATCGAGCCTATAGCGCAGAGACCTCTGTCCGCACTTAAGAAAGTGCTGTGCCTCTTGAGCGCACATAAGGTCTCATTTTCACTCGCTCCGCTAATCATCACAGACAATAATCCATACTAATTTTACGTACAAGAATGAAAAACGTTACCCAATGGAGATGCTTGGCAACGCATCTCGCGACATAAGCACGTATCAATCGTTCTTCCTAGCAATATATTGACTTGAGATATTTATCCACAACTGTAGCCTTGGTTATACTTAATTAAGTATCGATGTAGAGAGAACCACTTTTCAATAAAAGGGAGAGGCTTAGACGAATAGAATGGGTGTTGGCAAAGTGAAGCACTGCAATTTTACTAGATTAAAGCCTTACTTCGTGTATAACGTGAATAGTTTGTGGGTATCAACTAGCTAATTATCGCATATGGCATTCATTCATGGGTCCATATAGAGGGGGGAGGTAGGGGAGGCCAGGTCAAGCTATTATGTCATTGCTGGCTACTTGAATAAAAATGCAAGAATCGAGCAACCTTTCCTTATTTCGTTGATTATTGTTAAACTGTAACAAACATGCTGTCACACAAAACCGCAGATGCGAGCAATGATTTTCTCTTTCCTCAGCGATTATAGTCTTTACCAACGCAAGTCCTATAACTATTTTTTAGGAGAGTAAGGAGTGCCTGTACAGTCACCGGATTGACTTTCTGGAGGACCGCGTCTATATCCAAGATTTTCAAAGGCTGGACGACGTTTCACGCAAAATTAGCGCAAAGGTTGTAATAATATAGCATGTTAGTTCACAGCCACATGTGCAAACACTAAATCTTAAGGTACCCGAGCAGCTATAACATTAGTCTCTACCATTGTAGGTGAAACGGGGTCGAACCGTTACATGAGACTTTCCGCGAAAAGGCACGCAAAAGTCTGATAAAGGTTCTAAGTGTGTTTTTTTACTTAGACCATTCATGTGATTGGGTATAGAAATTGCGTACCCAACACAAAGTATGCAATACACATATTACATGATGTCAAACATTACGTCATCAACGCGCTTTCCTTCACTTATTGCGCTCTGTAGAGACCACCTCTCATCAGAACGAGTGTCTAATCTTTTTATTTACCATGTAGCTATTCAGATTTCTGTCTGTTTATTAAAATTGGAATCAGTCGTTCATTTGCAACTTATTTGTGACGTGTGTGGCGGAGGACAAGAAATTGCGCCCGTGCCACAAAAAGGAATAAGAGTTCATCAATCGGGTAAGGAATTTTTGAGACGCCTACTGACCTCTCTACACGCGTGAGAAGACGGTAGAACCGCTTCCTCGCAGGTGTCTGGAGGTGTGTGTTGTTCACGTGCGTGACGGCTTGAAGTGCCCGCCTACACTTGTTGTGTTTAGGTACAGTTGTTGTCCAGAACATCAGTTCTTTGTGACTTGTGTGCTTGCTGTTGCCTAGCTAAGTAATTGGTCATGGTTAACACACTAATTATTTGTGTGCTTGATTAATGGTCTGCTAACTCTTTTGATACTTAGCACTATTACGTGTGTCATTTTGCAGCCGAGACCAGCAAAAGCCACAAGATCAGGGGTTTACTCCCAATAGCTGTACAACCGGCTCACAGATATTTATAGTAACTTTAGTACGACCTTAGAGCTCATCAATGCATGCCTTAACGGACTGTGCCTGTACACGGGGTGGAACGATGGTCACTATGACCTATATTGATTTGTATGATGTACACAGTAGACTAGTATATCTGATCGGCGTACTATTGTATACAATATACTAGCGGTAGGACTGTATTTTAACGAGTAGACAGGAGAGGAGTTCTCAGGGATAATTCAGAAGATGCAGGATCAGGTGGGAAATCTTCATCAAAAATCTTTGAAGCAACGTACAAACTCTGAATGCTGTTTTTGTTGTGGTTTCCCGGGGGTAGTTTAATGTTTGTATGGCGGAAAATATCTCTGGCTTTAACATTAAAATTAAGAGAGTTTTCACTCTTTGACCTGGGCCCAACATGGACTTGCTGATTGAGTAAGGAAGTTCATTAATCTAACGTTCATTAATTACGTAGACTCATCGGTAATGTAATTCGACAAAATTACTTACGCTCACCTCGCAAATTCGCTAGACTTGATGAAATGCTGCGATCGATGCATGGATGTTATCTTGTACAACGAAGGAAATGGGTTTACTTCGAGGATATACTCAGTGCGTAAGCTGACGTATTATGCGCCGCGTCTCAGACGTCCTTTTTCGACTTTAAGGCAAATAAACACGCTTAACTTCGGGTATAACGCAGACTGAACTGTCGGCCAGTCAACAACGGCTCTCGCGCATAGTTGTGTACCTTCCGAACTGTAGCACTCAACGATTACGATTGAAACGTGAGAGAGATTCATGACGTTCTATGACACATTATAATTATGTGCTAGAAGTCTGAAACCGTCTAAGCCAGGAATACAGCACCGGACGCGGCGATGATTCGTGGCACCGTACTAGAGGGAGGGGCACAGCACTCGGCTCTAGGGTAAAAAGTTCAAGACAGGCATGTAACTGAGCCCCTTGAACCACTGTTTCTGCGCCTCTATGTTCACGCATAGCCACGGCGGTTAAAATGACGAATACCCGTAGTCCAGAAGCGAACCACACTGGCAGATGTCGTGGACTTCGCGCTGCGAAAAACGGCATCGTTGCGCTCACACCATAAGTGCGCCATGCAAATAGAGCACATCAGAAACCATATCCGTCGCCACATCTTGTCGCCTGCCGCTACATCATCTTGAAACCTTTCCAGCAGTCCAGACCGCTGAAACGCTGGAACTTCTGGAGCCTGACGGTTGGCACAATTGCCGAAGTAGCTAT